GTGTTTCTAATCCTTTGTGCCTTCCATGCAGTCTGGAAGTCTTCCACTGCTTGTCTGGCACTATCTTGGAATATCAGCTCTAGACACAGGTCAGCATTTTGGCCACTGAGACATGGATACGAGTTAAACAATTATCTTGTCTGGGTCAACATGTGCCTCCTTTCCAAAAGTGCCTTCCAGTTTTACAGGATTTGAGTTTGGAACACTTTTCATCTCATTTTCAACAGCAAGAAGCTCCATCAAACAACGCTGCTCACCTCCCTTGTGATTTCTGGGGGTTGTTCATGCACCCAAAATTAAAGACAGTGATAGTGTAGGAACTGGGGGCATTGTTTTTGTCACCTTGTGTAAAGAATTGCTGCTCAGAAGCATCCTGTAAGGCTTTGAGAGCATTTGCATTGTGCTTTGAACAGGAAAGTAAGAGTAAATTGTGTATTTATTGTACCTAATAGGTGTTAATTAGGATACCATTCATAAGCACATTTTCTTTCCTGGTTAGCAGTATGCTGAGCCAGAACCTTGGCAAAATAGGAGTTGTGATACTTCATTGAAAGTCAGCCTATTTAGAGGCAAGCCTGTGTGTTATGAGCTCTCTTGCTCTTCTCCCTTAAGGGCATTTATTCTTCCTAAGTTGTTATTCATAGTCCCCTCATTTTGACAGAAAAATTGGATTCATGGTGGTTTAATTCTGCTGCTAGAAAGAAGAGGTTCTTCTTTCCAGTGGGCAGCAGAAACAAATTCATCTCCAGGAGAAATAAGTGTTTCTTTCCTTGAATGCAGACAAGGTGAAGGAGTGAATGTGTAGGGAATAAACAAGCTTCTGCAGAGTTGTTCCATGGTGGGAATGACATCTTGATTCATTGGATTCGCTTTATGCTTTTGAGCTTTGGATGCTCCCCTTGCAGGTAATAACCTGAGGGTTTGAGTTGGGGGAGTGTTGTGAGCCCACAGGAGGTCATGGGGCAGGATCATGCAGATTTTAGCAGTAGTGGTGATGCAATAGCAGCCCCAGAGAGAGCTCCAGTTCTGCTGCCTGTGGGCAAGGAGCTGGCTGGATTAACTCTGCCTTCTCCTCATTTCCAGCTGCAGCACTGAGCTAAGGAGCCTAACACAGATCCCTTTGCTGAGCTGCGCCTGAGCTCCACACGCTGTGAGTCCGCGTGGGGATGGAGTCCGAGGGAAGGGAAACACAGTCCTGGAAATGTGTGAAAAGCTGGGAAAGGTGGGAAGGGCCAGGACCAGAGCCAGAGTCTGGCTTTAGCTGGAGCAGGCAGTGACACAGGAGCCTGTGGCTGTGACACTGAGCAGAGAGCTCTGAGCAGCTCTGGTTCAGCTTGTCTCCCAGCAGACTTTCAGCAAGACATTTAATCCCTTTCTGTTCCTCATCTTTCCACCTAGAACTGAGTGATAAAACTTCCTTTATCCCCAAGCTCCCAGGAGTCTGTTTAGATGGTGAGATCTTTGAGGGAGAGAACACACCTGGCACAGTGAGGCCCCTTTGTCAGATAGATGCCATTATAATCCCTGTAATCGGAAGCGCCGCTCACCTGCCAAGCACATCTCTCCCAGCTTAGGAGTTTCCAGATCGTGACCTCTCCCAGGACTGGTTCCTAACAGCTGTGCAGACAAGCATTCCTACCTCCCAGGAGTTTCTGAGAGTCTAAAATTTGCACCTTTATAACAATTTCATTTCATTTCAGTTTCTAAATTTTACTTTGCTGTATAAATTCCTTAAGGGTTTGGTTGAAAAAGCTTTTATTTTTTGCCTTTTTTTTTTCTTAAGTAATTTTAAATTTTTATTGAAACGCTACTTCTCAACAGCCATCTCACTTTTTAAAATTTTATTTTGCTCTTGGAAATATTTCAAACTGGGAGCTGATCCAAAGATGACCTTTCCCCACAGACAGTTTCAACAAATCAATATTTTTCCAGTGTGAAGTATCTATCACTGGAAAATCCTCACTGGCACTTTTTGAACGCTGTAGGGAATGCTTTGCAGGCAGGGACCTGCCATCTGAAGGCTGGTTGCTGAATGCAGAATTAGCACTAACACAGTTCTTTTGATGGCTTCTTCTGTATCAATATAAGCTCTGAGCTGCCACTCACATACAACAACTTCCTTTCAAGTCCTGCCATTTCTCACTTGGATATTTCCCCACAAAGCTGGCTGTTTAAGCATTAAAAAGTCACTGCGGCTGCTTTGCTGTTTAATGGGGAGTTTTGTTTGGGTTCCTATTGTAGCTGAGGAGGATACATGATCTCTTTTGAAAAGAGCTATTAACATGATAAAACATCTTGGGAACATACAATCACAAAGCTGATGGTTTCATCTTTGCTGGGGTATCTGAACACTATTAAATGCAGGGGACTGGGCTAACGAAGGCCTGGGCTTTGTAGTGGTGTGGCACAAGAACACAAGAGCTCAGCGTTGTTACCAGACTTTTCTGTAACTGTTTCCTGAAATATGCTTTGCATTTAAGATTCTGAATCAAACATAGGGATGCTAAAAAAATCCAATGTTTTCCATACCTCAAAGATGGGAGATTTCAGAAAGGTTGGTGTTGCTGAGAGAGGTATTTCCTTTGTTTATCTCCCTACATTTATGTGTGTTTATACATGTATATGTAGGCATAAACACACACATATATAATATATATACACCCACACCACACCCACCTGTATGGGAATATTTACACCCTCTTTATCCCTGCTCTGGGCTGGTTTGCAGGTGCAAGCACACATACTGGAGGTGATCTCTGCCCATTGCCTTCCTCATGCCATGGCTCATACTTGGGCATGTGACCTGACTTTATCACCTTCCACATTCTTGTGGTCTATGGAGGGATTTTGGTTGCCAGCCAAAATTGTACAAAAAGCTGTTTCATTTTTATGGCTTTGTTTCTACCACCACCCACTCTATCTTCCCACTTCTACATCAAAGGGCAGAAATTAACCCTAATTCACGTGCAGTTTATGATCCAGGGACCTGAACAAACACTGGTCTTGCATAATGCACAGATATTTAGCAGTGGTGCTCATATGTGTCTAGAACAACTTCTTTAGGGATGTAGCAAATTCCATCACATCTTCAGCCAGGATGTTCCTCTGACAGAAAGCAGAAGAAGAGGGTCTCCTTCTGGGGGCGAAACTTCTGTCTGGGTCATTCAAGAGTTTTGGCTGGAGTGTTTCTCCTCATATTCTGCTCTGAAGCTGTGTGGTTATATGAAAGAGAGAGGCTGAAGACTGTGAAAGTGGAAATACTTCTTGTCTACATCTTTCACTCCCTAAGCTTCCCTTCATTTTACCTATCAGTATTGGCCCCAGCCTCAGTTTGGAAGGAGGTTTTGCTGCCTTCACTTTATTACCTAGATTTGTGTTCTTCTTGTAATGCTTATGGATGGTTAATTGAAGTACTTTTTTTATTTCAGTCCTCCCCAGAAGGCAGGGGGTTGAGAATCTGAGAGTTATGGGGTGGAACAATGAATTTCTCAGAAAGCTCTGAAATCTCTGCCTTGTCAATCCTTCTGCCTCAGTATACCTATCAATAAAACAGTGTCTGATGTCCTCATGGCTAATTAGTGCTTAAGTGCTTTCAGAGCTGTGGGTAAACCACTAATTAGTCACAGTCATTTAGTCAAAATTACTAAAGACTGATATTTTCCCATATGCTCTATTTGTTCAGAGAAAATGTCTTGAAAATTCATTGATTTAGGTTTCCCTGGAGTATTTGCTGTTGCTTGTTTGTTTGTTTTACAATGACTTTCTGCATTGTGGTTAATACAGATGCTGAATTGTGCTGTCTGCCTCCAGTTTTTGTGAATGTTCTTTGGGTTTAAATAGTGCAAAATCCTCTTTCCAGAAAGAAACGTGGAAATGGAGCAGGATGCAGATACTGCTGTGATAACTATTTTGTTTCAGTATGTTCTACATCATCGCTGGGACTGGGATTTATCTTGTCTGCACCCTCTCTTGTACAGATCTATTTCATAAAGACATGATCCGTTTTATAGAGACATACCAACATGCCTGTACACAAAACACACATGCACCCACAGTCTCTTACATTACATTGGGGAAGAACCATGAGGCTGAAGCATGTTGACTCAACTATTTAATGAGGTGCAATAAATCTTGACAAGACCAGCTGGCACTAGAGTTAGGTTTCTCATCTTTTTACCATTACATTGAAATGTGAACAATAGTGGAAAGAAATGTAGCTCTTCTTTGTTGTTCTTTTGGTACTCAGCTATGTAGCACTGTACTGAACTCATCCACTTCCATGGAATGCAAAGCATGGTGGATGCTGTGGAAAATGTTATTGATGCAAAGGTTCCTTTTCCTGATGCTTTTTCTTAAATTCTGAAAATGTTTTGATCCGGCAGGTCACAATGTTGTGGTCAGCACTGGGATCCCTGCAGCACATACTGGCTGAGCAGAGCAGCAGCACTGGGGAATGATCTCCAGGATATTCCCAGTCTTTTACTCTGCCTGTCACCAAGTTCTCTTCTGCTGTACAGCACACCATGACATCCTTTCCTCTATCTCATTCCACCTTCTCCCCAGGGGCATTGCTGCCTGATTATTGGTACCACCAGCTGCAGTTACTTGAGTATCTTTTTCTAAAAATAGGAGTAATTAAGCATCTTGGACACCTAACCATCTTTGGCATGGTTCCAAAGCACCCAACATGGCCTCCCATATAGGATTCCTTTTTAATGGATCAGATTTATTCTTGTGAAAAGAAATCTGTTTAAATAGCACACTTTTTGTTTGGGGTAGGTATTGTTCCTACTATTGTTCCAGTGGCATCCATCAATCTCTTTCATGTTTTCAGCCTCACCACTTAATGCCAATCAACCCTTAAAAAATAATTGCTCCCAAACCAACTGAATGCCTCTGGATTCACTTGAGAAAGACTGTCTGAGCTTTGAAGTGTATCCCATAATGATGGCTGGCATCTCCAAAAGTATTAACTGCACCTTCTTGCTTTGTGATTGCAGCATTTGATGTGTGCTGGGCTCTGGTGCCTGGTGGAAGGAGACACATCCTGTAAAACAAAGTTGGACCCCCCTCTGGATGGCACCGAATGTGGCGCAGACAAGGTAATCAGAGTGCTCAGCAGCAGTCACTTTTTGTTTCCCAGCATTGGGAATAATGTTTCCAAGATGTTCTGTATTTGCCATAAACCCATAGCTGGTTGTGTTCTGGGTTGTGTTTGTGGTAGAAAGTGTGCAGAGGATTTAGCCTGACATTTGGGGAGTGGCAAAAGATGGGGAAAGGAAAAGAGGCTTCTTAAAAACCTAAAAGTTTCTACAAGTAGCTTAAAATAATTGAGCTCAAATACAGTGAGGTTCTATTCTTTTTGCAGTATAATTTGCTGTATTTATTTATATATGTATTTTTTGGAACTTGATTGGTTTGGTAACTCTCAGCCTCCTACTTACTGGTTTTGGACTAATTTTTTTTTGTCTATGGTATAGCTGGGGAGGTGAGAAAGGGTAAAATTAAAAAGCTGGTGGCTGAAATCAAGGATTGGAACCTTTTCTTTGCTTGCAAATAAAGTTAAACAATGACAAGAAAAACTGGGTCCTGGAAACCATGACAAGGAACTGGAAAAAAAAAAAGGGATTTTAGGCCCATCTTTTTCTAACTGAAGGAGTCCTGGGGACTCTTTCGTAAGGTTTCTTAGCAGTGCTCACTGTGTCACATCCTGGACAGGCCAAGTTTGCTGCTTGGTCAGGAGCCAGAACAACCTATTAGAATCAGAGGGGTTTGGGGGTTTAGCCAAGGTAGGTCCAAAATACTTCAGTCATTTTATACAGACTGGGATCAGTGCTGATGAAGGCATTGCTTTGGGGTATAATTTCTTGGACTATTTTTGTGAATCGTGGGGCTTTAAGTCTTAGTACTTAGATAATTATCTGCTTTATAAAGTAAGGGACTCAGTCCTGTGATTGCTTTTTTAATGACAGAACTCCCTTCAGGGGCTTGTTGAGAGTGACACTTACATTTCTACATTTCACCTCCTCCTTCCTCCTCCTACTGCCTTCTCACCAAAGCCTCGAATCCCTAGAACTCGTAAACGTGGACTTGTTGCAATCCCTCAGACATCCTTTTAAATGCGTCTGTGCAAGGTCAGGGCTTCTTCCCAGGCTGTGCTAACCGGATTGCCTTGCAGTGGTGCCGAGCTGGGGAGTGTGTCAGTAAAACCCCCATCCCTGAGCACGTGGATGGGGACTGGAGCGTGTGGAGCCAGTGGAGCATGTGCAGCCGGACGTGCGGAACCGGGGTGCGCTTCAGGCAGCGGAAATGTGACAACCCCCCGTAAGTCCTCACACCATCCTGGCTCCTTTTGCTGTACTGGCAGCCTTTTCCCTCTTGGGCAACCCTTGCTGCAAGAGTACAGGGGAAAAATGGGCAGCAGAGTTGTGCAGAAGCCCTGAGAAATTTCTCATTCACAAGCTGTGATGACCAGGTCAGAATCGTGGAGTGACTTGAAGTAGGTTCTGTGGAAGTGGCTTAAAGAGTCATCTTTGGGAGTGTTCCATTGCAGTGATTCAAAGGGAGATACAGCTGAACTATATACAAGTTTTGCAGAAAAACTGATGCTCTGTTTCCCTTCCAGCATCCCCTCCAGTGAATGAGGAGGGGCTGATCTGGATCTACAGATCAAAGTGAGCCAATGTGCCTTGGAGATGAGTTTTGCAGGGGATGTCTGCTCTGGGGTTGGGGAGCAGTGCAGTGGTTAACAATGATCAGAGTGTCCCAGAGCTGTGTTGGCAAAGCCTCTTGAGATGCTCTGTAGGTCAGGATGTGCTGCATAAGAACAGGAAGGTTTTCATGCTTGCAGAGAGCCCCGGGTGCTGTTTAGCTTCTGCACAAGGAGCTAACAAAGGACTACAAACAAGCCGATGCTCTCTGCGTGGGCTGGGATTTTTTCTGATTCAGAATGAAATGTAGGTGTTATCTTTCATCCCTCAGGTTTGTTGAGGCCTATCTGAGAGGTTCTTCATCGTTCTGGAGTCCTGAAGAGGTTACAATGGTGCCATTTAACTGGCCACCACTTGGGATTTTTAATGGTGTTTGGGAGCAGCCCTCCAAGTGGGGTATCTCTGACTTTATTCAGATTTAATGTTTTCTTCTACACACAAAGTACCCAAAGCTTTTATTTTTAAATTGGGGCTGAAATTCTGCTTAGAAACACAGTCACTTCAAAGATATGCCTAGATGATGGATAGGCTCACAGTTGCTGCTGTTGACCTGTAATCATGTGAAAAGGATATTTTTGTTTATTTCTCTCCTTATCTGAGCTGCAGTTGCATGTCTATAATATCCGGATTTGATTTTTACCAGCTCATCTTCCTGAAAAGAGGACTGAGCTGGTTTCTTTGCTGTCAGCTACAGTGCTGACCAAACCTAAATCCATTCATCATCGTTCCTTAAATTACAGGAAATGCTCCTTCCAACACTGCACACTGATTTTAAAATTCTCTTGCTCATATACATTCTTGGCTGGAAATACACACGTGATCTTCTTTTGCTTCAAATTCCTGGCCTCAGCCCACTTCTGCAGCTGGTTTATTCACTGTCCAAAAATACTGGCTAAGGGATCTATCTTTTATTTTGTATATATTTGGTCTTGGGATTTTTTTTTTTTTACAGGAATCTCTGTTCCTGCCAGCTGACTCTTGTGCCTGTGGGACTATCAGTATTTTTAAACCAGTTGCTTCACTGTTTGATTTGGTTTTTGAGTTGTACTGCCTTGTGTTCCTGTCTCGGCTTTGGGCTGTTGTCGTACAGTTGGACTGAGGAGAAAACCATTGCCTTAAAATGAGCATCCCTTCTCCAGTCCCCTCTTGTCATGTAAAAGGGTCAGAGCAGCATAAGTGGGCTTTGATTTCTTCAGTTCCATTAGTGGGTGGATTCTCTTGACATAAATACAATAAAAGGTGGCTGTGGAGTTGCCTACCAGGAGATCTTATTCAGTCACTGTTTTAGACATGGGCCAGGGTGGTCTTGGATTGCTCTGTTTATTGGAAATCCCAGGCAGTGCTTGAGCTCATAAGTACAAGGCTTGGGACCTGGAATTCTAGATTCCATGCTTACTCGTGGTTTTCTGTTTGTATTTTGTTTTATTTTGCAGAGAAAATACAGGTTATTGCTGAGAGTTTGAGTTTTCCTTCTTCTCTGGGGATTCATAAATAAAAACAGATAGATTTTGCAGGTGCTTAATTCTGATGTTGCATTAGTGGCCTTTCCTGTATGTTTAGAAAACAAATATATTGAATGGCATGGATTTCATGGATGGAGATTATCTGCAGCACAGGTTTGTTTCTGGATACCCTGCTTACAGTACAGGTTATAGCTGCTTCTGTGGTATTTAAATTGCAAGTAGGACACATGCTGAAGAGATGTCTGCTGTGTCCCCATCCTCAGGAATGTTTGAAGCCAGGGGCAAAGCAAGGGTGGGAGAGGGAAGATGGAACATTTGGAAAATGGCTGACCCTGGTTTTGTTCCCCACTGCAGCCCAGGGCCAGGTGGGAAGAATTGTCGGGGGGCCAGCGTGGAGCACACAGTGTGTGAGAACCTGCCCTGCCCCAAAGGGGTGCCCAGCTTCAGGGACCAGCAGTGCCAGGCCCATGACAGGTACACCAACAAGAAGAAAAGCCTCCTGACAGCTGTCATCGTGGATGGTGAGTTTTTTCATCTCCCTCTCTAATTCCTCGCTGTTCTTTCACTGCAGTTTCTCATCTGCAGGGCTCCCATTGTTGGTGAGAAGGCTGCAATAGGCCCCCTTTAGCTACAGCTGAAAGACTAATTACAGTTAATTGTTCTTGGTATTGCCCTGCTGTTCCTTTAGCCTTCTTAATAGAACATAGAGTTGGCAATGCATCTTTTTGAAATACTGGGAGAAAAGTGCCTTAACTTGATTCCCAGTCTGAAGTTGGGAATTTCACACTGGGAGTCAGAGAGTTGGGAATTTAAACAGTACAAGGTTGCAGTTAGTTTGAACTGATAAAAAAAAAAGGTGGATTCCCTGTGACATTTTTAAATTTATGTCACTTTGGGGCATCTCAGCATGATTGCCTGTCTCACCTACAGTCCTTTAATGCTTCCTCTGCTGGATCTTGCTGTTCATCTGCTGTTCAACCAGATGTTGGTGGGATTTGAAATGGTCTGGAGAACTTGTTCTAAAATCACTGGCTATAGCCTGAATTTTGTGAGACACAATGACTTGTTCATTCTTATCAGACTGATGAATGTTCCCTGTAACAAACATCATCCCTTCACAAACAGATGCACAAAAGTATATTGACTAATTGGTTTTCTGTGTTGTTAAAGCCCAGTCTCATCAATGTAACCCTTGAAACAGTGATATTTTAAAGTGGGGAAATGACAGGCCTAAACTGAAAACCCCATGTTCCTTCAAAGATGAGATATCCAAATCCATTCATGTAGAGAATGCATCACCATTGGCTCAAACACTTGTTTGTGCTGTTCCCAAGGGTGGTTGTTACATTTCTTTTCCCAGATAAGCCGTGCGAGCTTTTCTGCTCCCCACTTGGCAAGGATTCTCCAGTGCTGGTGACAGACAGAGTCCTGGATGGAACTCCCTGTGGGCCTTACGAGACAGACCTCTGTGTACATGGCAAGTGCCAGGTGGAGTAGCTTTCTCTTGTTCTATTTCTAGTGTTAGGTTCAGTCTGGGGCAGCACTGTGTGGGTGGCTGGGAGGCTGTCCCTGAGGGGAGGGGACAACCCTGTTTTACCAGGCCCACTACAAGTGCTCCATGGCCCTGTGTGTTGGTCTGAGAATTGTGCTGAATGCCCGAGGTATGATATTATTCCTGCACAGCTGGGAGTGCCCAAAAATCACATTTGCTTGTGTGCATGGCTTGGGTCCTTGAGAAAAGGGACTTCTGTGAGGGGGGCAGATTGGAAGGGAAGTCTGGCCTGTTTAATTGCTCTTTTTTGGCTATTAGAGGAATCACTGATAAAAGCACTGAAGCTGCAAATCAGCTTACAATTTGTCACCAGCCTGTTACAAGCATTATCTTGCCGGAATCATGATGCTTTCCAGTCCACCTGGTTCCTTCTTAGAAGTATTGAGGGAGCTTTTCAGTACCAGTTGCTTCTTGGCTCCTGCAGCTACATGAGCCAGAGTCTTCAGATACAATTCTCTTTCCCTTAGAGTGGTGGCCTATAACTATTACAATGATTATTTCTCTCTAACCAAATTACACAGCGACCCAAAATGAGGTGTGGGAGATCTCTGTAATAAAATTAATTTTTTAATTTTATTAATTAAATTTAAAAAGTCAATGGAGTTGTGTAGACCCATTTAAGATGGAGATTTAATGTTTGGACAAAGGAAGGGAGATGAGAAAATGTGTATTTAAAGATCATAAAAGACAGGAAGTTGTTTGGAGTTGCTCCTGCTGATGGGTTCAGGTCATTTGTCATGGACAGTTTGACAGGGCAGACTCTTCATGAGTTTCCTTTTTCGTGATCATGGAATACGTGTTCAAAGTGTGCTCCACACACCACAGTGGTGGAAAATACAATTCACTTGGCTACATTCTTCCTGGCAGTTCTTCCCTTTAAGTTTCTCCTTATCTAAGTTTGTATCCTGTGGTAGGAGTTGATCTTCCTGGTATTAACCAGCACGCTGTATCCACCAGAACAGCTTTTTAGCATCACCCTTATTTCCACTAACTTCACTGGTTTTCCCTGGGGGCACAGGGCACACCAGATTTGACATTATTTCTGATTTCTGTGAATGGTTAAGAAATGCCAAGTTTTATTGCTTTGAGCCTTCCAGTTGGGGAGATAAATGAACACAATGCTCACCTGAGTGTGAGAGAGGCTTTGGGGGCATAAAGCAGCTTTACTAATAGCAATGCAAAGTGGGAAGTGAAAAATCTTTGGATGGAATTTTGCACTGCTGCAGGAGACACTTCCCACTTTTTCTTAACAAACGATGCTGAAGAGACATTTTTAATTCACTCTAATTTATTCCTATGAATAGCAACAGTCTGGGGAGCCAGTACAAGTTTGATTCTTTATAATACAAAGTGCTTTGCACATAGAGCCAGGTTCATGGTGCATCCGAAGTTACTTAATTTTTCCCTGTTTTTGGCTATATCTGAAAAAGCAAAGAAAAACCTCATTAATAACCTTTTATAGTCAGGCCAGCTGTGCATCTCCAGCTGTGTGCCATTGACCATTACTCTGGGCTGGCCAGTTTTATTGCTCCAAACCTTCAGAACTGCCACAAATGGTAAATCAGACATCATGGCAAGGAATGCTTCTTTCATCCAGGGGGGATCAGTAGCCAGCTCCCTCCAAATGAATTCCTTTATGAGCACAGAGCACTGGAGGTACATCACGAAAAGCAAATTGCACTCTGAGTCGGGGGCAACTGCCTTTAACTGTGCAGAGAGGTGATGACAGCTGCAGAACATTCAGTCCATTTGCATCTGGCTGAGAAAAAAATTGAAATGATCAGTTCAAGCCGAGCAGATTTGAAAGCCCTGTGAACTCATTTATAATACTTCTCTGCCATGTATGCAGTGCTGAGAATTGCCATATGTGCCTGTGTACCCCATTGCCACAGATACTTGTCTAACTAGCTGCCTATTAAACCAATTTAATTGCCATATTCATTTAATTACTCCTCTCCTTGTTTCTTTATCCAGCGTAGACAAAGCCAAGCAATAAGCATTGCAGGGGGCCTGGAGAAGAGAATAAGTGCTGAAATCAGAGGGTGGTATTACTGTTATTTATTTTCTTATGTAATCCTTCTAGTTAGAGGCTCTCAAAGGCAGGAATGACACATTGTCAGTGCAACAGACAAATTAATAACCATTGCCTGTGAACATCTAGCCCAGGAAATGTAATAGATCTTCTCCCTTCATTAGATGCTCCTAAATGCAGCTCATGAATCGTCCTTGGATGATGAATGAATGTAGATGAACATGGCAGAGGAGAAACTGTTACAAGGAGAGGAGGGTTTTGAGAAGGAAAGCAGGAACAGATTCTCTGAAGCCTCAAAATGCCCAAATATTTGGGCACTAAGGGAATTTTCCTTCAGTTATACTTTGTGAAGTTACTACACTTTCACTTTAAAGCTGAACTCCAATCTAAAAGGTGTCAGTGAAGCCTGTGGTGTCAGCCTCACTATCCCTGAAACAAAATCATCAAAAGCAGCAGCATCCCTGTATTTTTCCCTTACACCTGAAGGCAGCTGGAGTGAGTCAACTTGGTTATTACTTTGATCTTGCATAGAAGCACCAAAGAGGAAAGCCAGCCCTAAATTTAGCATAGGGGTTCTTAAATCACCTAGACTTTTTCTAGCCTTACTCCTTGTTTTTGAGATTAATCATAAGGTCTTAATTCAATTTCTTCCTTGTTGATTTGTTTTGGAGGCTGAACATTTCAAATACACCATTTCTTACCACGCTCTGGGTAAATTATATCCCTGTTCAAAGTGTATATAGGTCTTTGACCTTTTCTCCTCAAAATGCAACATGGTCTTCTAGGAAGGAGAATTTATTTTCTCCAGAGATTTTTCAGAGACAGAAAATCTGTAGCAGGCTGGAGAACAAGAGCAGCCTGGTGTGTTGGAGGAGGAGGAGGGTGAGTGCTTATTTAGGCTTTGCAGCAGTTTGCTTTCCCTGTCATGGACACTGCAGCCATGGGGAAGGTGGAATAGGGCAGCTGCACCCCACACTGGGTCCATTTTCTCCTATTTCTCTTCAAGTGACAAATGGCTTTCAGGGAGAGGATTCCCTTGGGATTTTGTTCTTCCCTGGGCCTGTGAGGTGTGTGTTTGATGAGAGAACACTCATGAGAGCAGGGCACTTTCTAACCCCTTACAGCTAACCCCTCAGCTTTGCTCTGTGCTGTTGAGGTTAATTCAAAACTGCTGGCAGTAGTGGAGCTAAAAAAAGTGTCAGATGTCACAGAGTAGAGGGGCGAGGAGAAGACAAGCTGCTCAGCTGACTGTTATGATGCACGTGACCTTGTGCTGGCTTTTCTCAAAGGAGGATTAGTCTGAGCCTCATGACAGCATGAGAACTTTCCAGTGAGGGCTACAGATTGTGCTTCAGGATGTAATCTAAGGACTCTGTGAAAAGAGAGACCTCCTGTATAGCAGGACTGGGCTAGAGATCAAGGGCAGTCTTTGCTGTGATTTAACAATTTAAGAGGTGAAGATATTTTGGCTCTGCCTGCAGTTTTCTCATGAGTGTTTTGTCATATCACACCTCCTTTCAACTGGCTGGTGAATCCACAGTATGTTTAATGATAATAAACCACATATTAGACTGTCCTGGCACAACAAAATTGTTACGGAACTACTTTCTTCTCAAAGTGATTGTCACACTCTATGAAAGGGGAGCACAAATTGGAAAATGGACAGATTTTTAAAAACAGCTTCTGCAGACTGGACAGGCAGTGTCAGACAGAGTGCCACAGGTGGCAGAGGAGAAATTGATGTTGTCTACTGGATCTGCTGCTGGCAAACAGTTTTTTACATACTTAGTACCCACTTTTTGAATTTGATTGATGCCTGCAGTTCTGGCTTTGTCTCCTCTCTTGAGTATTTTCCATGTATTATTCATATTCCTGCATTACAAACTGTGGTACAAGATGTTCCAGACTGGGTAGCTTGTCTCCATACAACAACTTGGCTTAGCACTGAACTTTGATAAATTATTTAGTGCATGTGCACAAAATCCAGAAGGATTGTCTGAACTACAGAAACCTGTTGTATAATTGCCTTTTTGTTGGTTTTTTTCTGTGTCTGGATCTGTAGCAATGTAATCTGAGGTTATAAAGAGTATCAGGGATTTTGGTGAGTAAGGCATAGTGATAAAACCAAGTCTTTGTCAATAGCTTAGTACTTTGTGGTGTACTTTGCAGTGGGGTATGAAGAAATACCCCATGCTATTTCCTCCAATTTTTCTTCCATGTTATCCCATGGAAAGCATATAATAGAACAGAAGCAAAGGAATTCCTGGGATGGGAAAGAGCTTTGTATTATTTGCATGTTCTCTCATGAACACAGAGGTTTTAACACATAACCTTCAATATCTGTATGTGAAAAATCAAGAATTATTGTGTCTAACACCCCCATGAGCGGCTGAGGGATCTAAGCACAAAGTCAGTGGCAGGTGACATTGCAGATCTAATGCAGATGAGATAACACTGATTTAAAATAGGAGATGTCTTAACTCCTGATCCAGCAGAGCTGCTCTGATTCAGACAAAATCTGAAGGCCTGGGAAATGACAGGATATTTGCTGAACTAACTCCTACGTGGACTCCAATCATTAGCACAAAATTTGTTGTGGAACAGAAATTGGAGATGAGCTCAGAGATGAGCTGCTTGATTAGGGTCCTAGACTCACCTCACCCAGCCCTGACAGCCACCCACAATCCTCCACAGGGACAGCATTTAAAACAAGGAAAATAAGAATTCTCTTCCCCTCAGATCTGAATGTCACTTGCTCACATCTGTAAATTCCTGTTTCATGTGGTCCATCCCTGGAGGTATCAGTGGACATTGGATATTATGGACAAAAAGAGTTGGCAGTGTAGATGAATCTGTCATAACCAGCCTGCTTTGTACATGATTAATTTGTAAAGTGGCACATGTTGCATCAATATTTGTATTTGATCCATTGAGACATCCAGTTAGTTCAACATATGGGAAGCATTACAGTTTTGTGAGTCTACAATGTCATTTCTTGAACAGAGTGGGTGTATATAACAAAAATAATTGTATTTATGTAGCAAAACATACCCTCACAAGCTGTATCAATTGAGCTCTTTCACAGCCATTGAAAGTACAAATAAAAATATCATTAAAAAATGTCCAAGCAATACAGAGAATAGTTCACACAGAACAATCCAAGTGATATGTATTCAAAAGAGAAGAGTTTTCCTATGCTGGAGCCAGCTATGACTGAAGCTGGAAATACCACCCAACAAGCTGTACTTTCAGATGTTTAATTATAAAAATGAGAAGAAGCGGGGGGAGAGAAGGAAGGGTAGATGGAGATATCAGCTTAAAGAAAATTAATTTCAAGCCTTTGGCTCAGCAAATGTGCAGTTACCTGCCAATTTAAAGGTCAGTGGCTAGTTCCAAAATGTGGTGTCAGAGTAGGAGACTGCCTGGGTGGAAAAGCCTTAAGAAACCTGTGGATACATTTCTGACTGTCCATGCTGAGGACTTGAAGCCCTAAAAGACTTATTTTCATGTTTCTTGCCAGCATTCCCATGTTTTAAAGCTGCTTCCCTTCTCACCAGTCCATTCAAGACTGACAGAACTGAAAGTATCCAGCAATTGCTGGATGGGCTGGTCCATGGACTCGGTCTGCTCATCTGCAGGATAACTCTTGGGTCAGAAAATACACGAGATGTTACTGTTATTTACAAGGTCTTTCTTCAGAATGTAAAGCTTGCCCTTTCTGCTTCTTAATTCAGTAAATTGCCTTACCTTGATTGGTTTGACTGGACAGGAAGCAACACAAAGCAAGTGAGAGATGGCAAAGATCAAACAACTCCCTTGAGCTACTTAGGTTTTAAGGGATTCTTTCTGCACTCTGAAAACTTGACTTTGGAGCAGTGAAACTTGGGATTTTCCCTTTGCATATGGTTAATTAAGCCTTGACATTTTGGAAAGCTTTCAGCAGGCTGAGGGCAGCTCTGCAGTTCAAGGATGGGCAGTGTAATACACGGAGCACATTTTCGGTGTGAAGCTGCTGATGCACACGATGGTTTTTCCAGCCAGTGCTGGAATCTCAGGGGCTTTCTCATCTTGGAGAAATCTCTCAATTAAGAGCCCAAGGACTGGTGGCAGGTACTTTGCACCCACAAAGGTGATAGCCACTGTGTTCTGCCCTTCCAATCCTGTCTCTTCCCCTTTGATCCACTGATCCACTTGTTTTAAGAGTGGCCATTGTGGTGGTTTTAAGAGTATTTTCCATGTGGGGAGTTCTCAAAGGATCAGAGTGACCAAGGTGGTCACTGCAATGTGTTTCTAAATGACTTTGCAGCTTTTGGAATCCACTGTCAAATCTTACCCAAAGCTGTTTCATTATGTACTATTATTAAATGTGCTGCTATTAAATGCACTTTCAGTTTGGAAATGATTGGAAGGCTTGAGGAGAGGGAAATGGGCTCTAATGTTTATGTAGACAACACTAAAGTGCTTCCAAGGTATTTTTCCCCCATAAAGTAGCAAGAATGCACCAATTTTCCTCTTGAAGCCAAGAAAAAAAAAAGTGTTTTATTCTCTTAGAGATATTCCCTTCTAAGAAGCCATTTCCTGGCCCAAACATGATGGAGGCTTTAAGTCTCAAGGACTGGATTGAGGGAAAAGTCTGCCCCGTGGATGGGAGCAATGGTGCCATTGAAGAGGAGGGTGCCAGGGCCATTCCCAGTTCCTTCACTCATAGGGAATAGGATGAGGATGAAAGGTGAAAATCAGCAAAGCTATTGGGAGTTACATTTGTGGATTCAGTGGGTTCTTTCCAAGCCCTTCAGAGAGGGCCTCTCGAGTCAAAGGGTGTCAGTGACCAAGTGAAGGTGTGAGGAACTGGCTTGTCTTGAAGCCCAGTGTCAGAGGGGGCACTCGGCCTTCCCAAGCTTTGCTGGCTTACACTGGTTCCCATTATCTGGGAAACTCCAGCGTAAATACAAAGCATGTGATTGCCAGCTCCCCATTCTTTCCCTGCCTCTGTTAGAGTCCTACAGACTCCTCATGTAGCTCTGGGAATAAGTGTGGTTCAACACTCATTATGTTCCCTTTATTCTTCTGTGTGCTCACATAGTGCTAATAACAATGCAGCACAATAAAAGATAGCACCAGAGCCTTAAATTAAACACAGCCTTTCCAGTATCTCAGCAGGGTGGCAGGCAGGCGTTTATTTCCAGCTGCCTTTCAGCAACCCCATTAATAAATCATCCTGATTTTCCTGGAAGGAGAACTGCTGGGACATCCTTCTGTTCTGGGGGCAGAATCACGTTCAATATCCCAAAATTATTTGTTGGACACGGGCGTGAAATTTAGGCTTGAGAATTGCAACTGCCAGAAACTCCACAATCTTCTTCCTACCTCTTTTAACTCCCATTTATACATTTATATGGATTTTTTCCTGCTGTTCCTGTGCACCAATTTAGGTGCTGTGCCAGGTAATGCCAGTATTTCCCTGGTGTGTGTTTAGGATGATCATCCTCTCTCAGCATGTCTGTCCCTAATGATTTAACCAGACAAGCTCTGCATCAGCACACAGTGGAACGCTGGCAATCTTTGATCCCTAAAGTACATCTGGACTCATGCAGTGGCCAGGGTCTTCTGAAACCAGGGGAATGTTGGAGTTCTCATCCAAATTGAATTGCTTACACGCAGACAGGCTCAGATAAACAGCCCAAGTTCTTTTAATATTTCCCTGCCTACCCTAGTTTTCAAAATGTTTGTTGTTTTGATCATTCCCTAAGATATCTCTCCAGCTTTCCTCTGGCTTCATCATAGGAAGGCAAAGAAGGGAGGGACCCAACAGTTTTATTCAAATAAGTCTTACTAGTGACAGTCCTGCTACTCATTTGCCAAAAAACTGTTTATCTATACAGAATAAATCTTAAACTAATTTTTAATAGTGCAATCTCTGCTAATAAGTTGCATAATGACAATGCTTATTTCATTGAAATTTATGTTGTAAGAGTGAATTGCTGATCATTTTGAGGGTCTTACATGGACAGAATACAATTTAGATTAGTGACAGTGTTGTCAGCCTCAAGATCTACAAATGTGGAATGTTCACCATCATAACCTGTGGATATATTGTGAATAAGGAAGATTATGGTGATAATCCCAATAGCTACAGGAAGAATATTGTGACTCTTCCCATGTGTGGAAGCAGAACTGTAGATTTTAATTGGAAAAAAATTAGGTATGTGTAGAAAATGATAAGAACACTTTTTATAATGCAGCTTTAGGTGAAACTTAGATTTTATAGTTCATTTTTCAATTGAATGTTGATTCTTATTACAGTGCAAGCATGTGGAAAATTTCATAATTGCTTAGGCATTCTTGTGGTAGAAATTGGCCAAGTATGAAACTGACCTGCTTCCATTGAATCACTCTTTCATTTCAGGTATCATGAGCCATATGATTAATGAGGTCTTTTTTCAGGTATTCCAAAAGTTTAATTAAAAGTTCAATGTTTTCTCCCCATTCAGGTTTTCAGTCAGATGCCAATCTTGACCTCACTGTTTAGAGATGCTCTAACCTTGCAAACAAAGTAATGGGGGTCTCTGGTTGTTGTCATTAGAAAATTGGATGTGATGGGATCATTGGCTCGGCTGCCAAAGAGGATCGCTGTGGGATCTGCAGTGGCGATGGGAAAACCTGCAAAGTGGTGAAAGGAGACTTCAACCACACCAAGGGCATGGGTGAGTAACACTCAGTGGGGTTCTCTTACCTGCTAGAGGAGAGTTGGGGTACCAGTAACAGCTCTTCTTCTTGGATTGAACTGGAGTCACCTAACAAAAACAGCCCTAGGAGGCACCTGAGAAATGCAAAACGAACCCAAACTCACTTGAAGTGTGAAGCCCATCTTCTTCTTACTCAGTCACCCAGATACCAGCCACTGCCTCTGCCTGAAATTCTGAGTGAAGTTGTGTTTCTCATTTTGAGTGCTACTGGTGCTGATGATTTTAAATAGGAGACAAAATCACAGAATCTTTCCCAGTGGGAGGGAAGTTGGATTTCAGCACCATCTTTGATGTCTCAGAATGATGCATGTTGCATGTTGTAGATGATTCATGTTATAATCAGAATATCTCAGCTAAAGGAAAGAGCACTGCACTCCCCTCTGAATATTTTTACTGATTCCCTGCCAGCAAAAATATCCAGTATAGGATATAGGAGCTTGGAATTAAGACTTCCTTTCTTGTTAAACATTAATGTATGTACAGCTTGATGTTTGAATTAGTCTTTGTTCCAGGGTTTCTGTACTACACTTCTGAGAACCCTGTTCTCACACATCCTAGTTAGCCAAAGGGATGGAAAGCCATGTCCAGAACTTGGAAGCTTCTCCAGGAAGAAACAATTGTCCAGAAAAAAAATTATTTCCCATTCAGCGAAGACAGAACTGGTATTTCTGTGTGGAGAAATATATTCAACGTATGCTGCTTCAGGACTGAGTTCCACAAAGCACATGAAAATCCCCTTTAAGCACCCACTTCAATTCAGTTTAGTGGCTAAAGCAGCACCAGTGCTTAGCAGCTCCCTTTAGTCCGGGTCTCAGCTCTGAAGTCTGAGGCTCTGGTTTTGTTCACTGAGCTCTTCCTCTGCACCCTCCTCCTCCTCACCTGCAGGGCCAGCTGGGATCTGTCACCCCCTGTGAGATGCAGGTGGGATTTCCCACCTGCACCACATCTCTCTGGAGCACATTTTCATGCTTGGCCAACCTGTTGAATGGTTTCCTGCATTAGTGCCTTTGACTCCTTTGTCCCAGTTATTTTCCACCTACTTACATCAAGTCTTTTGCATTTGGTGCAAGTGGTGGGAAAAGTCCCTCATTTCCATTGAAAAAAACCCAGCTATTCTCTGTTTCTGTAGCAGGTTATACAGCTTTCATGGACTTCTTAAATTCTGCTGAAGAGTAGCTATCTTTCATCTTTTCCATTGAGTCTACAGAACATCTTGTGCAGATAAATATTAAATTTCTGGGTCACTGCCAGGAGGTTGCACCCGTTTCCAGCTACACAGACTGTTTGAGGTGGTGACTTTACAAGGTTGTAGGAGCAGAGCAGCTTCAGCATTAACTGGCTGCCAGGACTCTGCAGGAGGTTTTCACCCCCAGTGCCCTGGAACCTAATCAGAAAGAATTTCTGATGACTTGTGGACAATGTTCAAGCATTTGGATTCTCTGCCAATCACCTCAGATGCACAAATTTGTCAAACTGTTGCTTTGTCAATGCATTGTTTGTCAGTGCAATGTTTCCACCTTTAGCCATTTCACATAATCTAGAAGATAATTGTTTTTATCAATATAACCTCATAACCATTTATTAGATGTTTTGTTTTATTTTTAATTTAATATGGAAAGTTGATTACATTTTATTTGTGCTCCCATCCATTTCTGCTCCCACGATGCTGTTTTGCAGAATCATCTGAATTTCATGCAGTAAGCAAAGCTCCAGGTCTGGGGTATCACAAGTGAACTTGACATTACTCAAGGGGGAAAAAAAAAAAGGCTTTTTTTTTTTTAATTGGCAGTTAAGCAAAAATGTGTAAAAATTTGATGGAAGCTGGGGAAAATAAAGATCCACAATATTCTGGTGATAACAAATTCAAGGTTTGGATGTGTAAATGATTGCACAGTTCAGTGGCAAATCCCCACGACCTGGCTGCTTTCCAAGTCAAGGCCAAGACCCAGAGTCCAGTGTGCTGATTTATTATTTCAAAAGAGAATAGACTTCAAACACCAAGACATTGATTGTTTTGGAGTGGTATCTGTTTGGGGAATTGCAGCTGCAGCCTTAGGCATTGGCTCTACCCATGGGACCCCTCTGGTTGCAGGATTAGTCCCTCTGGGTCCTGTGATTGCAAATGATGTTGTGGAGCCCTGTGAACTGAACTAAACCCCTGCCAACTCCTTTCTGTTTCTTAGTAACCAATAGTCATTGTAAGAAGGTTTCCACATGTGTGATGGCAAAGGCAAAGGCTGTTCCCAAGTGTTTCTCGTGTAAGATACTTGAATGCTGTTTGCAGTGTCAGTGGGTGTTGGTGAAATCCTTTGGTGCTGGTTCTTTATCTTTGTTTTGTCGGATTAGATGGGGAAGTTTGGTATCAAAAGCCATGGATAAACTTCAAGTCCTTTTACTGTTTCACTTGCCTTATCAGAGATACAAAGTACAGATCCTTTCCTTTTAGGGAACCTATCAGTATAAAAGGAAGCCAAATTTTCATGCTCCAAGCAAAAATAACCAGGTCTATTTGTTTTTTTCCCTAACTTTAATGTCACAGAGGTTCTGTCACCCTGGTGGGAAAGATGGTGAAAGGTTCGAAGTGCCTCACAGGAGCCCAGCAGTTCAGTTCTTACCACCTGTGATCCAGGGTGCTCCAACTAGAAATGGACTTAATTTTTCTGCTGGAGAGAGGAGGTCAAAAGCCTTTATTTATGATGCTAAATATCACATACACTTGTGTGCAGCTGGCTGTCTTCAGCAGGCCAGCTGAATGCACTGTTTAGACTGAGGTTTCCTTTTGACTGGCAGCATGCCCTGTACCTATTTCTACAAAATCATTTTTCAAAACCAAACACAGAGTTGTTCTGAAGTCCACCTCATTCACCCTGCCACTGTACAGGGGACCTAGAAATAAAGGACAGCTCTTTGACTCTTGTTTCTTGGGGAGCTGATTTATCACTGACAGATTCTCCAAGGCTGTGCCTGTAATGCTGAGAGACCTGGGTCTGTCTCTCTTCATTTTTCTCAGCCACATCAAGATTTTCATTTATGATTGTGATTCAGAAGAATTTTTGGTTATAATTCAAAAGAATGACCACAGATATTTGTGGGATTTTTTTTTAAGGTATGCCAGTTGTAACTATCATTTTGGGAAAGGAAAAGTACATCTTTGCTAGGAATTTTTCTTTTTAAGATGGTGGAAAAGTAGGGGTTTTATTGCATATGCTATTTGTCCAGCACTTATTAAAAGAAATTTGTCCAACAGTGCTGTCATGCTGGCTGGGATCATCTTTAACTAACACAAAAATATAATTTTATATCAATAGGGTACATGTAAATTACAAGAAAATAGAACTCTACCTAATCTTTAATTCAGAAATCCCCTATAAGGGTTTCATCAGAACATGCAAGTTAGAAATCCCAGTAACCAACAGGAATGGTAGAAGGCTTTGAAATTTATCCATGGTTCTTCAGACAAATGATTTTCTTACAAATGAGCTATCCCATGGCTGGAAGTGGACAGGTGCCAATGCAGGATTTATTCTCAAGCTAAAAGCAAAGGAGAATTGTCACAGCTCTTCAGAAAATAGACACATTATTTGCACTCCACTGCAACAAGTAGCACTCAGTAAAAGCTGGGATGTGGGAAGGATGAAGCCTGAGATGCTCAGCTGATGCTTATCCCTGAAATTCCATGGAAGCTATGCTGGCCTTGGCTGGCAGGTAGGCAGGACAGCCTGAGCTCCTCGCCTTCTGCCCTGAGATGTTTGTTCAAAGCACTTTTGGGAGGTTTGATAATGGGCTGGGCATTGCTGATTTTCTTACACCTGATTTTGGTGTGTACTTTCAGCCATGGGATAATTTTTCCTTCACCTTGGAGTCCATCTTCTACTGCAGTGTGAACCAGAAGAGTTTTGCAGTAGATCAGTGGCATTCTGAAATTCACACTAAACTTTCTGTTCTTTCTGGGAGTAGTAACAACGGCTAACAATGGATTTTTCTGTGTGGGCTGCTTTCCTCTTGCAAATCTCTCCAGCATTTAAATGAAGATACAGTAGCCACTGTTCACATATTAATCTCCTTGATGACAAAGCCACCTCTTTGTTCTGGTGTCTCTCCTAATACGAGTTATACCATAAAATTTGTATCTCGGATTTGCTTCAATCACAGTCTTACATTCCTGAGACACTGATGTAATGCAGATTATCCAGAAAGATTGGTGTGTGCCAGAGTAACTGTTCCCAAGGTGGAGTATACTGCATACAGCACTATAAATTATCAAATAATGAAGTTCTCCTGTTGTATTTTCAAAGCTTCATCTTAGCAGGCTGATTTATGGGTGAAATTACTAAAAATACTGCCTGATAGTTGCCAAATCTCATCAGTCTTTAACCAGTTCCTCATTTAAAGCAGAACTTTAAGCCCAACCTTGCAAACCCTGGCCTTGCAGACAATTATCCTAAGACCTAGAAGAGCTTTTAGAGTCCTTAACTTGGGGCCAACTCTGAGACTTTTTTTTGGTCGTTCTAGCTGACACTTGATAATCTTTCTGGCAATCTGCAGTTACAGTTTGCTTAATAAAATGTGCCTGGAAAACACTGGAGGTGTTTCCTGGTGCAGTTATCTCAAAGATCAAGAATCTGTGACCAGAAGCCTCCCACCAGCTCTGAGGACCAGAGTGGAGTGGTGGAGGTGATCCAAGTTTGTACCTGTGGCAAATTTGCATGGGTGATATCCAGTCTGTTTGCAGCAGAATTTGACCACTAACTCCCCCAACATTGCTGGAGATAACGAATGAGAGTGTCCAGATGCTCCTGCTGGGACATGCCCAAGGGTTCTGCTTCACCTCTGAGAGGACGGGTCAGATCCAAACCCCTGCAAAGCATTTGGCAGTTCTCTAACAAGAGAGTGAAGGTCAGCAGTCAGGTTTGTGGTACAGTGAGCTAACGCAGTGTGTTTCTTCTTATTCAGGAGCTGTGAGTGCAGCCCCCCAAAGCCATCAATCAGGATTAGAAATTACCCAAGGAGAAAAAATCTGGTGCAAGACCAAACCAAACAGTCTCCAGAACTAATACTCTATTAATAGCTCACACTTCACTATTTACTATTGTAAAAAGTAACATAAAAATCACTTTTCCACGTGGTGTTTCTTTCATGGCACAGTGATGAAATGAGTGTATTTATGGCTTGAGCTGAGCCTCCAGCACAGCTCCAGAGTTTGCTCACCTCTAAAAGCAGTGTAACACACTCCTGGCTGCTGTTGGGTCAGGGGACAGATCCAGAGTTCACTGAACTTAGTGACTGCCTTCCACTAAATTGAGAGTAACTTTGTCTCTGAACCCTGCATGATTTAGCTCTGGGCATTTGTATCTGGTTTTAAAACTAAATAAATAAATAGTTCCCTAGTAGGGACATTAAATTACCTGAAACTTGGGCATGTTCCGAACTGGCTTCCTAACAGGGGTGTTCAGGGGTGTCTCAGGAGCTGTTTCCCTGTGACAGACTGTCACTGGTCACACTTTTGCTGTGTGTTCATGTCTTAAGTAGTTGTTGGTTGGGTTTATATGCAGCTGCATGGGGTGCAGTGAGGATGTTTGATATCTGAAACACTCTGTATTGACTGTGATTTGATATCTCAGCTGATGAAAAACCAACTCCTGGCAATGTCTAAGATAAACCCCAACATCTGTGTGCTCTGATTTCATATCAGATTTCAGTACTTCCTTTGGAAAATTGACCCTGGAAGTAATGATTTTTCCTGGTGAAAGCCAGGTTGAAATGGCAGCTGGGAGAGCCTTTGCTCTGGCTTCTGTGCACAGACAAGGTTTGAGCTCTGCTGCCCCTCTCTCTGGTTTTTCTGCAAGGGATGAGTGACCATTTCTGAGATATCCTGAGATATCTCAGAGTTGAAGGGTCAGATGAAAGTGTCGTTCAGATACAACAAATCAGGGAAGGAGGGAGCCTGTGTGGCCCAAGTCAGCTGCCCACCCTCTGCACCTGATGAAACCCAAGAGCTCAAGCCTTACTCATGAAATGAATACTCAGGAAATGAATCCACCATCTGAGAACCCAAATCTGTCTCACTCCATGTCACAGTGGCAGGAGAATCACTTGGTCCTGAGGTACGAGAGGCTGTCACCATACTCCTATGAGTCCTCCCTGTATCAGTACAGCAAAAGCAGGGCTGTTCAGCTGCACTTTTATCCCTAAAATAGCTCCCTGAACGCTGCTAAGTGCTAAAGCAATCGCTGCTCCCTGTGCCAGCACTTTCCAACCCATTGCCCTAGACAGCCCACAATTCCCATAAAGGCATCACTGATATAGAACAGCTTCACAGAGCCCTTTAAAGCAAGAAAAGTGGATGAGGGAACGTACAGGATAAGCTGCTTAACATCTAAAAGAAAGAGGACAGCAATAACCCCAAAAAGGTGCCAAGTGATACACTGCAAAGTAAACTGGGTGGCCAATTAGAAGGAATCAAGTCATGGTTGTGATGAGATTAGTGTCATCTGCAAAGGCCTGATTCAAAGTCCAGTGAAGCCAGTGGAAAAACTCTGCCTGGCTCTTTGAAATGGGCCATAGTGTTCCTCTGCTTTATCATTTAAAGGCACCGCTTCCACCCCATGGAGCAAGTCTGTAACTCCACATGTCTCCATAGTGGGGGAAAACAGGCTACATTTCCTAGTTTGTTGCTAGTAGCTCCTGCTTATTCTTACTGTATTCTGTGAGTCAAAATTGGTCTTCAAAAAATTGTTCAGAGGTGACCAGTGGTCAGTCCTGGACAAACTTCCAGCTCTGTGACTGCATTAAATCTGAGCTGTTGAATTCCTAGCAGTAAGTGCAAGATCATTATCTCCTCCAGGATTTTTATACAGAGCTGAAATGTAAGCGAAAACAAGCTTTTCCCCCTCATTTGTCCCATTAATTCCCTCTGTTCAGTTTTAGCATCATCAAAAAGTTTTGTGGAAGTGAGTCCCTTCTGACACCACAGCCTTGACAGGGAAGACAAAGCAGGAGCATCTACTGGAAACATAATTTCAAATGTCTGTTCTGTGCAGTGTTGCTCCTGACAGTCCCACTTGGCAGCGTCCTCATGCATCTCTGTCAGTACTGCAGGAAAACCAGGGTGATTCGAAGGGTGCAGATCTAATGAGAGCTAATTAACAAGCCTGAAGTCATGGCTGAGCAGCACACATGCATTTCTGCTGAAATGTTAGTCATGACCATGCCTGTCACAGCAGTGAGAATCGGCTGCCAGCACAGGGATCTCATCTGGAGTGTTTCTCACTCAATCCCCAGCCTGGAGTTGAGTTTTTCATGGGAGATATGGGATGGCTGATCCTGGCTGGCCCTGCCCTGCTTTCATTCACCCCTTTTTTGTTGCTGTAGGTTACATCGAAGCCGCTGTGATCCCTGCGGGTGCCCGGCGGATCAGAGTGGTTGAGGATAAACCTGCTCACAGCTTTCTGGGTAAAAAGACAAAAGAAAAAAACGTTTTGAATAAAATTCAGCTCTGTTTTCTTTTTAAAATGACCCTTCTCTAAGTGTCCTGTAAGGTTTGTTGCTGCCAGGGAGGGGCTGGTGATTTGAGTCTTGCTGCAATCTCTGCTTTTGTGGCTTGGTTTCATGTTTGTGATGTGATAGTATGTGACACTTACAGGCCCTGTGCAACCTGGAAGGACCAGAGAGTACTTTTATATACAGACAGAAGAGTTCCTGAGCAGAACTTGGCAGTGGCTTGCACAGAGCTGCCAGGAGCACACAGCACTTCAGGAGGGAGTGGGGAAGAGAACAGTGTGTTTAGAGAAGGGAACAGCAGAGGTACTGATAGGAAGGCGCCCAGCTCAGTCTGAAGCAGAGGCAGGACAGGGCAGCTGATATCCCTCAGTAACCTGCTGCCATTTCCTACATCAGCATATTTTCACTGGATGCTGTACCCAAGACCTCATCCTGACTCTGAGATGGGCTTAGCTGCAGCCTCCAGTCCACTTGCCTCTATTTTATCAGGCAAAAAAATTTGTTTAATCCTCTTGTCATTTGTACTTCTGCATTCCTTTAGAGATGAACAGGCATCCTCTCCTCCTTTTCCTGTTGGAAATAAAAGGTTTAGACAAGGCTGATGGGTAGGATTTTCATGTGAGGTTATTGTAGGGCAGAATCTGTCAATTAATTTATTGTTCAGTTACTCATTGCATAAATTAAAGGTCAGAATGGCATTTGTAAAGTGCAGCCAGTCAGTTACACTGAGGATCTGTCAGTCTTGTCTTCTGCCTCTTCTCTCCTATGTTTGTGGCATTTCCTTCTCTGTCATTACTGTGCAATAGATAAAGGGTTTTATCCCCATCACTTCTAGGGAATCCAGCTCACAGAAACAGTAATGCCCCATGGCCCTGAATTTACACAGGAAACCTGTAGCAGAGCAGAGGCTTCAAGGAAAATTGCTCAAGATACAAAATACCCCTGACACATGAAAGGTCCCTGGCACAATCAGAGCTTCATGGCCTTGGCATTGCTTCCAGAGAGAAAGGAGCTCTGAGAGGATTGCAGAGCTTGTCACTCTGTATTGTGGAAGAGGAAACTGAAGTGTTCCAGGTTGCTCGTGGCTATGCAGGGAGTCAGAGCAAAGCTCAGACCTTGGTTTCTGATTTGCAAATCTTTTGCTTATAATTCTTCATCTCCAGCCAAAAGGAGATGTTAATATCCAGCACTGGAATTATCAGATGCTGCTGAAAACGTTTGCATAGTGGTTGTGTCAGGATTTCAGGTCTTGTGCTATTGGTTTTCTGTCTTGAGATGTTGCCACAGTTGGCAATATCTCCAGGAAAGATGCTTTTGTTCTCTTTCACTCCAGATTCAGGGGGAAAAAAGGAGGGCAAATTATGTCATTCAGCTGCCTTTTGATCAAAACCATTGGCATTTGGGCCACTTCTTGGTAGGAAGGAATATCACCACTGCTCCTATTTCCATAATGCTTTAGCCAGCCTGCCTGAGGATCCCGCCTACACGTGAGATGTTTGACATAGCAAAGCCTGGTGGAACAATGGGAGCCAGTGTTTCTTTGGGTTTTGCAAGTGCTCTGCCTTCTGGAAATCAGGCTTTTTGTTTGCTTTGGTGGGGTTTGCACGGGTATTTGGGCTTTGGCAGATAGCAGAGCACTGAGTGTCTTACATGGAGTTAAAGACTGCCCTTCCCTGGGACAACATAACCTTGACTAAAGCTGATGGTTCCCCACTGGGTGGTGAAGATTAGGATTTTGTATTTTTGAGAGCAGGAGTTGGCCCTGATTGCATCACATAAAGATAGATAAAAATCTGGCTTTGAGTTCTTTCAGCTCTTTGGTTCGTGGTTAGGAGCCAGGAGAACCTCTCTAAGCTTTCCAGGGTTTTCTCTTTCAAGGAACTCTCAACACAAAGAAAAGATACCCAATGTCTTGCTGAACTGAGATGAAGAATAGCAGCAGAGGGGTTCCAGTAGGACAATAAACATGACAAAGGAAAAAATCCCCAGTCACTCCTAAATTCAGGTCTGAGGATTTTCTATTTCAATAGTGCTGACAAAGCTGAGTCCAATCAGGTCCTGTTTCTGCTCAGAACCAGGTACAACATTTTGGAAAGAAGCCGAGCATAATTTGGAATCATTATTCCATGTGCTGGGAGCAGTGCCTGAAGAATTTCCCTCCACCTACAGGCAACCCACGCTGGCTGCCTTGGCTGGCTGTAACTCTTGAAAACCACCTTGAACAGGAAATGCCTGGGCAGTTTGTGTCCACAGGCTGGGAAGCAAGCTGGAGGGACCCAAGGTGGAAATAAAGATCTGACTGGATGCCAGGTTTAAAAGTTGATTGTCCAGTTCCTGCCTTCCAGCCAACAAGAAAAACAGAAGTTACAGGTTGTTGCTGGGGTTCCTATTCCTCCTGCTTTTGTACTGTACAAGTTTGAGTTTAGTTCTGTCAGCTCTGGGGCTGGGCAGAGCCAGCCAGTGGTTGTGTGTGACAAAAGCAGTTGGAGTTCTCTGTGTCTGAGACATGGAAGGTTTTATAGCTGCAGCAGTGATCTTGCTGATGGGGCAATGGGGGCAAACAGCAATGAAAACACTTTGGCCCAAATGCTCTGTTGAGTCCCCAATGCAATTCCTGTAGTCCTCGAGGAGCACCTTTGAGAACAGGTCTGTTTCCAAACTCTCCATCTCCTCCGCCACTGAGGGAGCAGTGTCTGCAGCAATCAAAGTCAAACCCTGCCCAGAAAAGATGTTCACAAAGATGAAATGTTGGTTTTCATCAGCAAATTATCTCCCTTTGATGGTGAGCTGGAACCAAAGCATGACTTAAGTCACTCAACCTCTTAGAGAGTTTTGAGCATGTGCTGGGATATCTTTCCTAGTCAGCCATGCTTCTTGGAGATAGTTTTATCTCATCCACAGCTTTGATTAGTTGTGTTCATGGCTCCTCAGGGCCAGCGTGGTGGCTCCTTTGATCTGCCTGGAAGCCACTAGGCCTTGGCAGAGGAAAGCAATCCTGCTTCAGAATTGTGTCTGGAGCTTGCAGAAGGTACTTTGAGGAGCAAAGCAGAAACAGAAGTTAGCCACAGGGAGAGACACATTGCTGCAGCACGCGAATGTCAGGACACCATCGTACTCCAGGCTGTGTGCCAGAGGAAACTTTCCTCAGAAAAAATATTCTCCCACTTCACTTCCCCTTCAGCCTGATTTTGAAGCCTCTGATGGGATTCTGAGAGCTGAACAGATACCCACCTTTTCCCAGCAATTCCCAGTGTACAGGTCCTTCAAAAGGCACATGCAGATGCAGAGAACATTCTGACCTCCACTTGCTCCAGATTCCCCCAGAGTTTAGATATTACAAATTATATATGTGTATCCTAAGCACACCCAGGAGGGTTTGCTGGCTATGGAGGCTTGATCCAAAGGGATAACAATAGGAGATTTCCTACTGATTTCCAAAAGAAAGAAGCTGTTATTGTACAGCTTCTCTACCTTCTTGAAACACACTCAGTTAAGTGAGAGCAAAGTTGTGTTCTTTACTGGAAGAGAATAAAATAGGCATGAGATGCTAGAGATTAAAAAAACATCTTGTTAAAGGCTTAGCCAAAAGACACAGTTAACCTTGAACTAAGGAAGTCCAGTAACATGTGGGATATTCTGTCTGTCTGCTGTCAGGGCAGATTTGATCACGGTGAATGGATCTCCACAAAGGGGCCTGGCACTTTCCTCTGCAACAGGGTTTGCCAATTTTCTCTTCCCTCAGTGCATCACACCAACATCTGGATAACTCTGCTTCCGTTCTAACACAGAAAACACATCAATCCCTAGATCAGCTTCCACTGATGAGTCAGCAGTAATGTGATGCCCTTATGGCTGGACTTGTCTTTGAGTGTTTGAAGGACATCCATGATCCTGATGCAATAGTTATGCTGGAAGAAAGGACATACAGCTCCAAGTATCTTTTCTTCTCAATATTCATCCTCCTTCTGCAGTTGAGTTTCCAAGTTTGCCTTACTGAGGCACAGGATGAGTTTAATCCTACAGCACCTGACCTTGTATGATTGTGTCCAGCACTTGGACCCTGAAAAGAGGGTGGCCAAGTTCACATTTTGTTTTCACATAATGTTTGGTTATGGAGCACACACAAGCACAGCATCAGTTGTATTTTGCACTTGCAAATCTTCACATGTGAAGCAACAAAGATTTGATTGATATTTTTCTCAAGGAGAGTTTAGGAAAATGTGGTCTCAAAATCTGGAAACTGAAAGAAAATTCTGCATGGAAACGAAATTGCAGAGTTGTCTTGTTGCATTTAAAAGGAGAGTTTAGAGATAAGTGATCTATGAATTTTATGTTAATTCTTTAAAATACTGTCATCAACTGAAGTACAGAATATATCCAAGTTAGAAACATTACAATGGGCCATCTAAAAGTGGGGGGTTTTATTCTTTTAAACTCACATCAAGGTTTCTGCATCTTGTGCTTGAGGTAGCTTGAGACAAAGGCTCAGTAGTCTGTATTGTAATTACAACTTGCTTGCATTTCATTCTGTGGTGTTTGATTCATTCCAGCTTTAAAAGATTCCAGTAAGAGATCCATTAACAGCGACTGGAAAATTGAGCTTCCTGGTGAGTTTCAGATCGCAGGCACCACTGTCCGGTACGTGCGAAGGGGGCTGTGGGAGAAAATCTCTGCCAAAGGACCAACTAAAATACCACTGCACTTGATGGTAACTTTATATCCTTTGTTTGTGTTTCTTAAGTGATGCAACAGAAAGGGTTTATATACTAGCTGAAAGTTAAATTTTGATTGTTTGCTTCCTCACCACAGTGTTCTTTTGCAGCATTGCAGGGGCTGGAGAAGCCCAGCTCCCCACTCAAAAAGTGATGCTCCATTCTGGGGGTGCAGGCAGTGATCCATTCAGCTCATGTCCAGTGCAGGATACCCCTGTAACGTGTCCCAGACAGGTCCATTCTAGAGGATGTATGTTCTCAAGGACCTTTCTTATTTCTTGGACATACCTGATCACTCACATAAAAGCATATTTGATAAAATGTCTTTTCATCTCTTGCCAGGATGTATGGTGTTTAAGTACTCTGTTCTCTAACAGAAGAGGTGCAGATCTAGCATGCACAGATGATATATATGAATATGAATCTAAGTAATGAATTAATTACACACAGAAATGTTCTTTGTTTTCTCTATATTGTTTTTTCAAATGTATGTAGTTTAAGGTGTTTTTTGACATTTTTTCCTAATGTTCATTGTAGCCCTTCTGTTAACACAGCTTTGTATTTTATGAGCAGCCATGTGGCTGAGCATGAATGAGAATTCCACAGGGGGGAGAAGAGCAGGACTGTGGTCCCAGAGCTGTCACTGGTGGGTGACAGAGTGACCCATGAGCCAGTCCCTTAATGCTGCTGTTACCTTAGCATTTGTATCTGTGAGACAGCTGTAATAATTCTTGTCTCATATATCTGTTTAAAAGTCTGCAGAAAGCTTAACAGGTTCTGTAGCAAGGTTTGCATAGAAAGTATATTAGTATTTTCATTGTTTCCTGTAACTTTTTTATTCTATTCCATTTTTTTTCTGTGCTGTTTCTTCTCCTTGTGAGTTTTTGCCATGTTTGTTCTCTAAAGGCTATCTGTAAGCACTGCTAAAAATCAGCATTCTCTCCCTTCCCTCACCTGATTTTTTTGGCTTGCTGGTGTTCATTGTGCAACACTTCCTGACCCAGTTTGAAAAGCTCCAAAGAAGCCTGAACTTTTCACATGCACAAAAAGCTGACAGTAATACTCCACTTTGTCAGTACCTTCTTGGTGTCAAAATCTGCCACACAGGAACATGAGGGGTTTTGTCTTTGCTTTCTCAGACAGATGAGTGAGTTTACAGGCTCACAGACCAGTGTAATGCTGGGTTCAAAGAGGTTACAGCTGGAATAGTCAGAGATGCAGGGTTGGGCACACCAGCACCTTCCTGGCTCACCTGTGTAACCCAGGGTGTGCTCTCTCAAAGGAGGCACCAGGCACCTTCATCACCATCAGAAACATCAGCTTCTGCTTGACTTTGGCCTTAACACCAGCCTTCCCTCCTGAAACCAGGACTCTGATAAAGTATCTTGTACTGCCAAGGTCTTCCCAACCTCATGTGAGAAACAGGAGTTGCACAGGTACCGTTTGGAAAGATGCTGTGCAGGGTTCCTTTGGCAGCTCTTGGAACCTTCTGGGGCATTACTTGATTGAGGTCCACTGCAGAAAAATCTGGTTATTGGCATTTTGTGAAACTCAGATTCAGCAGAGCTTTGGTTTTAAAGAAATGCTCAGTTCTCCTTCATTAAGGAGTAAGTAGCTAACATAGGAAAGGAATGATTTTGAGCTTCTCTATGAGTGTCCAGATACACACAGGCTCTTTCAGTAGACATAAGCAAAAGAAATGTTCCTTCTTCACCTTCCTTTACAGAAATGATTAAAAATGAGGAATGTAAAAATTACCAGACCATTAAAAAACATGTGGTTTTAAATCACTGCCAGTGGTAAACAAAGCACACATAAAGTCTTTGCTTCAAATCAGATACAAATCTTTTCCTTGGTGCAGGGTGGTGGGTTTCATTCTTTCAACACAAGAAAGGCAGGATGGTTACCAGTTCCCTCTAAATAGAAAACTGTTGTTCAAACAGTGGTGGAATACACTGGACTGACAAAGAGCCAGAAGCTTCAGTCAATCCATTGTGACCTGCATTTGAAACCAATTATACACACATACACACACACCCCAATTATATATGGCTATGAAATTGCATGAAATTGGTTTCATATGGGCCTTTAGATTCACTAGTCTTGCACCCATATTGAGATAATAAGGATTTCTTTTTAGGAGCTGGTTTTTAATACTTGAGGCATTTCTCCAAGTGCATTGCTGTGTGTGTATTTCTTGGAGAAACTGATGTTTGTGTAAGTAGGCCTGTGCTAGTCCTCCTTGTGCAACAGGGGACAACCAAACACTCCCAGAGCAGAAGGGGGCTTTAGACAAGGCTGACTGATCAGTTCTGTAGAACAGGAGTTCATATCTCCTGCACTTCAAGAAAGCCAGAGCAGGGCTCAAGCTCTTTGCCTCTGGCTGCCTGGTATTTGAATTGTGTTTAAAAAAAACAACATTCATCTTTGAAATTGTAATGATGGTTGGCTGGTTTCAACCCTGGTATTCGGTCCTGCTAGTGAGGCTCCCTCTGTAGCTGAAGCAAAATCATGTCTTTATTCCCCACATCCTCTGGAAGAGGCTCATTCTGCCCTGTGCAGAGCAGCTCCTGGATGCTGAGTTTGTAGAGTCCCTCCAGTGTTCATAGCACAGGCTGCCAGGACCCCTTCTTTCAGCGCATTTCTTTGGTTAAATGAGCTCCTGACAGCTTTAGTGAGGTTATTGGTTAAGTAGGAATTATTTGTGCAAATCTGAAGGGGAAACAATTATTGTTAGGAGAAAGTAGCATTTGCAAATTTGTCTTTATTTCAAACAGGCAGCTGCTTGCTCCACTTATGAGCTTAAAATACCTTATTTGATAAGGCATTGCTCCTATTTCAGTAGATGACAAAAGCCAGCACAATTCATCTGTCTAGTGCTGCTCAGATCATGGAATAATAAGTATAATTAAGTTTAAAGCCGCAGCATGAACATTACAGTAGTACTTCTGTGGCATTTGTTAATACTGTGGTAACTCAGATTCCATGGACCCCATCCTCCATGCAATGGAGATCTTCCAATCAGTTCTGACTCAAGCCAGAGAAAGTGAGAGCCAAATGAAGTCCAACATGTAAATCAAAACAGGACCAGTACTCTCATCTGCCTATGGTGAAAACATAAACATTTTTCTCAGTTCCTTTGTTAATAGCAAGGGAATTTTGGAGTAATAGCACTGGAGACATCACAAGTGGTTCCATGGGAAATAGCCTGCTGTTGGAAGCAGGTTTCCCCTTCCTCTAGCAATAAGCAGGGATGAAAATATATGTTGCCAGCAGCTGTATGATATGACTTTTGCTTGTCATCCACAGTTTTCTGAGACATAAAAACATGCTACAGCTTGTCAGCAGGAATAGTCATGCTTGCCTTGAATGCCACATTCACCTGGAGACAAGGGACTTTTTGTGCAGTTTTTACTCTGAGAAGCATCACCTTGTTCTTTCAGATGTTTAACTCTAGATGCTCTTGAAAGTAGTTGTTATATGAAAAGTGCTGATTTAATGCTTCCTGTTGTCTTTCTCTTTGAATAGCCAGTGTCCTGCTGATCACATATAAGGCTGAAAGTTAGGCCTTGAATTCCAGGTTTAGACATCCCTGTGAGTGCTTTAGATATTCACAAATCATAAGCAGTTCTTGCTCCTGCAGTTGCACTGTTTTACCAGTACCATTGTAATTTAAGTTTTCTAGGTAAAGATTTGGTTGCCTTTTACAAGGTATTTATATTTTAGGAATTTTTTCCTGAGCCAGCATTTCCAGCAGTGCTATCTTACAGCCTGTTGGCTCTCTCAGCACAGTGTGTTGCAACAGCCTCTCTTTTCCTGCCGAACCAGGTGCTGTTATTCCATGACCAGAATTATGGAATTCATTATGAATACACCATCCCTGTAAACTATACTGCTGAAAACAGAAGCGAGCCAGAAAAGCAACAGGATTCCTTGTACATCTGGACGCACAGCGGATGGGAAGGATGCAGTGTGCAGTGTGGAGGAGGTAGGGACACCGAGAAGCTTGGTAGGAATCCCTGTGTGATGTTTGCAGGCTCCAGCCACAGGAGAGGTGGAAATTAGCCATGAAAATGAACTTGGCCATAATGAATTCAATGAAAGCTCGTTCTCACCGGCTCTCCCAGCTCTGATCCCCATCCCCACAGTTAATTTCCAGCCAGCCTTTTGGCAGGGACACTGCTCTGTCACTGCAGGCTGGAGCTGCACCTGGATTCCTGGTGCATGGATGGCTCCAGGCGCTGTGTGCAGCCCTGTGCCTCCAGCTCCCATCACATTCCTGGAGCAGCATTTCCACAGGACCAGGCACGCTCAGGGAAAGGCACTTCCCTCCCCAGGGATGGAGCGGGGCAGTGCTGCTGTGACAGCTCCTGGAGATTTGCATCGGGTGCTCCCGTGCCAGGTGGATGTGCTGGGAGTCCAGGAGCACGTGGCACAGCTCCCTTCCCAGAAGATCCCTGGATGTGCCCAGATGGATCTGCTGGAGCCCTGGGGGGAGCTGATGCTGTGAAACCAGAGACTGGTTTGTCAGACACTGTCCATTGCATTTTCAGTGCTGGAAGAAGTAGGTTGTTCCCTGAGGAAAACAGATCACTTCCAAGCATTCTGGGCAGTCTGTCTTCACCAGCAGACTCAGTTATTTATGATGTGACATGACAGAAGGAAAGAGCTCATCTTCACATTTGCAGGCTCACTGCCCTCAGTGCACTGAAATTACTGATTTTTTTTTATGTAAATAGGACTCATTTTAGAATAGACACTTTTACTCGTGCATTAAAATAATAATTTTTAACCCACTAAACCCTCAGATGAGTGAAAAGGAAATTTATTTGTGGCTCTTCTGATTTTTGTTGTAAGCCTGCTACAAATTTGAATCAAATCATTGTCTGCCAGCATGGTTCCCAACAGTAGCAGCTTGATAACTGGACTTTTATTTTAGCTGTCCAGTGCTTTTGCCACTTATCAAAGCTGAGAAGGGCCTTTCACCTTTCCATACACAAGTTTGCATATTTTTTATTAACAGAGTGTGAGTTATTTTTTATTATCTGTTGCAGATGGTGAATAAACTCAATCTGACGCAGACTCGGGGTTAGAAAGCAAACCTGAGAAACCAAAGTAATTAGCAGTAAAGCAAAGTGACACAGTGCAGGAGTGACACTTTCCTTGTCACTTCTGGTCACTATCGTGCTCCCTGTGGCACAGCTTTCCTGATGCCACTCAGTGGAAGGCTGAACCCTGAGGGCCACACTGGATGAAACTCCTGATGCACAATTTATGTGAGAAATGCTGTCTCCTCCTGAGATGCCTCCTGCCACAAGGATTTTAAAGCAATATGTCTGGAGGAGCAGAAGATGAGAAATAATTTATTTTGGTAGCTTTATTTTCTCCTTCTGAAATATGAAGAAGCCCAGTTAATGACTCTGGAACCTCGGTCACTCCTTTTCATCCTGACTCGCTGCCTGGGGAGCAGCAGGAGACAGCTGTCCTGTCATTATCAGTCACATTATCAGGGGCTAGGAAGTCGTGTGACTTCAGCACATCTGCCCGAGGTGATGACAGGGCACAGCTACCTGTGGAGGAGGAACCAGAAACGAAAACAAATTGTTTTAAAGCTTGTTTCCACTTTCAGCACTAGAAGGAGAAAGCCCATCTTGCTGTTCCTGTGAAACACTCAATTGCGTGATTACTGGGGAAAGATTTGTAGCTTTTCTGAAAAAAAACAACCCAAAACATGCCAGTAAAAAGGTCAGGTAGAAGAGGAGAATAAGATTTCTTGCAGAGGTGGTAGAGTACATCTGGTAGAGGGAGCAGAGAGCCCCAAGCTTTTGAGTTTTGGTTGATGAGTGGACTTGGTTTTGTTCATTTCTTTTTGGTTTGGCTTTCAGGTGAGCGGAAAACCATCGTGTCCTGCACTCGGATCGTTAACAAGACCATGACACTGGTGAATGACAGTGACTGCCAGCGAGTGACCCGCCCCGAGCCCCAGGTCAGGAAATGTAACACACACCCCTGCCAGTCACGGTAAGGAGTTAAAAAACACTAAAAAACAAAATCCTTTCCCTTCAGAAACTGCCCCTTTCCAAAGCCTCCATCTGGTGAACACAGTGAAAATGTCTCAAAGTATCGGGACACATTGTTAGCCACAGTAAGCAGCTGTAATATTAATTTCCTTTTGTTGAGCAGGTCAGATTTTCATTACCTCAGACAAAGCCCATTTAATTTGTGGTCAGTAAGGCCAGATTACATGCCTTCATGCATTGTTTGGGGATGGTTTTCTTTTCCCCTTGGTTGCCTCCTGGGAGACAGAACAATTTTACAATATAAAGTTAGACAGGAGTACAGTGACTGCATATCTAACCTTTCTTTTTTTGAATCAGCACAGAATGGGGTCTGATTAACTGTCAAACAGTACTACAAAAACCTGAAGTCAAGAAATTAAATTATGATGAAACACATTTTAGAAGCTTTCCTCAGTAAGGGTGCTTTTCTCCTCATTAGTTATTAGAGATCTCTAAAAATAATAAAAATGCTATTTATTTTTTTTTAACTTGGCAAGCATTTTAGCTGAATTAATTTTGATCTGTATTATATTAAAAAAGATATTTCTGGCCAAAATGACAAAAGACAGGAAGGTAAATTAATTTGTTCCGTTTGTTTTCTAACAAAAAAGTTCACTCTTGTTCTGCAGTGATGTTTAGAATTGGAGAGTAATGTAGAAACTCCAATTTTGATGGTAGTTAGAATAAGGGGAATAGAACCAGAATCAGGGGTTTAGTCCATGCACTTCAGAGGTGGACTCAGTGATCCTTGTGGGTTCCTTTCAACTAAGAATATTCTGTGGTAAAATCCATTTCGGATAAAGCTGAACAATACCTAAAAAAAAAATCTTCAAATAAACCTGCTGGCTCCTGCATGTCGGATAATCAGACAAACTGGAGAAATGCACCTACAGAGCTAATCCTGCAGGCAGAAACAATGGGAGAAAAACAAACAGCACACTTCCTTCTAATTAGACCTGCACTCTGATTAAAGTGCCCTGGAGCAGGGAAATGAAGTGTCAGATCATCCATCAATAAGGCTGCTTCAGGTTTCATTTTCTGTCTGCACTGCCTGTTGTTGCTGCTGTACAATAGTGTGGCTGTACAACTTGCAGTACTGAAAGGTATAATGAGATACCCTGGTGTGTAAGCAGAGCCAAAATCCCCATGGCTTCAAAGAAACAACTGTCATTTCCATGAGGAAGTCCAGTGAGGCTGGGATTTCGGTCATGTCACTCTCTCAGAAAGAAACAAGAAACATCTGCTTGTGTTGCTGTCCTGGCAGAAGTATTTCTCCCAGACCTTTTGGAACGCTGTTGGGAGTAGACTGGAGTGAGCCCAGGCAGGTATAGGAGGGGTTCCAGGTGGCAGAGATGAAGAAAAGCAACGTTAAAAGTTCAGAAAGACGTGGGCAGCTTCTGCCTCTACCAGCTGAGAGCAAGGATGGGAGGTGCTGGCCATGAGGTCTGTCAGAGCCCTGAGACCCACGGTGTGCTCTCACCTTAATGTTATTCCAAGGTCTCTCTTCTCCTGTGTTCTTCTGTGTGGAGCCACCAGGCAGTTTATGGGCACAGCTTAGCACAGTTCTGCCCAGCTGCAATGAGCTCTGGCACAGGGACACTCGTTGGTCCATTTATTTCAGAGTAATGACAGCAGACACTGAATGTGCTTAGAACCTGAAAAGGCCACAGAATCCTTGCTGATGATCTGATAGACCACACTCCCCCACTCCCTCCGTGTAGACTACACTTTCACACTTAACATGCTTTTAACTGGAAACATTTTCAGAAGCACATTCTCTGTGCCTCTGTAGAATTTAAATTTCCACTTGCGTTTGCCCACCCAGACATTAGAAATGCATGCTTAGCATATTCTCTGACCAAGAACATCTTAAAGAAACCATTCTCTTTCACCATGTCAATGCTTTTTTTATGAGCCCTGAATTTGTTTTAGGGTTTCAAGTAAAATTATTGTAGCATCTTGTTACAATAAGGTCCTTTCCCGTTTCCACTCTGACCTAAGTCCTTCACCTGAGTTCAGAAGAAGGAACAATGCTCTCCTTTCTCTAGTAAACCTTCTCTGTTTTGTGCATTTTGAATTGCATTTACACTTTTCACTTAAAATTTAGGAGAATCACCTTTCAGAGTATTTATCTCTAGAGAGGGTTCTTTTGGCCAGCACAGGACTGGGTCAGAGGACACTCAGTCTCTGTTTCACTTTTGGATGGGCTGTGTGACTTGAATTCACTATCCCACAGTGTCCATTTGTTTCTTCTCTCAATCCATGTATAAGCTAGATTGCAAACTCCTTGGGATGGGGTGAGATCATATTGTTTAAGTGCAGGAAGAGGCTGTTGCTGTTGAGATTGTAATAAAAATAAAAAAAAGCAGTTACCCACATTTATAAAGTGATCAGGAGGAAAAAAGGGTATGTTATTAATAACAGTGTCTTTCTTCCAGCACGATCCCAAAGTGCTTTGTAAATTATATATTCCTTTGAACTTCAGCCACCTCTCAGGAGAGCCAAATAATGTAGGGCAGGGGACAGTACTTTCATGAGGCCAAGGAGAAGATTGGAATTCTCCAACTGCAACCCAGCATCTGAGAAAAACAAAGCAGGATTTAAAACTTGATTGGATACATTGACATGTTTTAAAATTAAACGTCAGAGAAGAGAATTTTCTTAAGGGTTTTGTTGAAACTGGCAAAAATAAAAGAATCTTTCATTCTTTATTATTGTTACTCTTTCACCTTTTAAAAAAATGCCTCTTTTTCTTCCTATTTTATTTTTTATGTTCCTTGACCCTCTTTTTCCATTAAATTCTTTACAGCTTCCTTTCCTGTCCCAACTGCACCCTATTAGCACCTCTTTATTCTAATCCTTTGCCTAGCTCTTTAGATATTTTTTACAAAAGCCCGCTGTAACCAGATGGAATCTGGATTCCTGCATGCGGCGCGTATGGGTCGCTTCCAGCACGCGGAGCACCAACCCAAATAACTCCGGCACAGCCAGCCCTGGGGCTGGCACCAGACTCAGAAATCACAGATCACATCAGCTGTTTTCACTGAAAACACAGCTCTGCCAGTGGCCACACACTTCTACATGCATGGTTGGGTCTGTGGCTATGAAACTGCTCCCCTCCAACGCAGGAAAAGCACCAAAACCACATGAAATTCCCCAACTGTTGGACTTGTAATGGACTGTGTGCAAACGCTGGTGATTTTTCTCCTCTTTGCTGTAAGAGATTTTAGGAGAGGTTGAGTCCTTTCAGGGGCCTGCTGAATATTTGGTATTCTTACATGGATGCTGAACAGCAGCATAAATGCCAGAAATCCCTGGCTGCATCTACAGAAAACCACGGGAGACCCTGAGCCCTTAGTTTCACTGTTTAGGACTTTAAAGTATCTCCTGAGCCCAAGGGTTAGTTTTCTGCTACTACCAGAAACATGTCTTAGACTCCTTTCTATAAGCTGAGCTTTTTCCATAGGCTCCTTCCCTCACTGGAAGGTTCTCCTTTGACCTTGCTCTTCATGTGGGTCAGAACCTTTTATTTCTAGCCTGTTACTCATTGTCATTTTTCAGCCTTTTTTTTTTTTGTGCATCAGCTCTGTTCCTTTTCTCACACAGTATTTTCCCTCCCTTCCTCTCTGCCTTAGGCTATTTGCCACAGGATACAACAAACCATTGTATCTCCTCTTTCCATCATTTTTCTGGGCTAAATCCATTACTTTAACTTCTTACTGCTTTTTTTCATGACTGCATCATATTTGTGGCTTAGAGTCATTCGAGATGTTTTCCTCCTTATTTATTTCATTGTATGAACCCTACTTTAACACAGAAATGCTTGTTACTGGTCCCTGAGCACTCAGCCTTGCACTGTGTGCTGTTTATTTCCATCCTAGCTTTGTTACTGCAGTACTCAAGGTTATTCAGTTTTTCCTGTATGACATCCTAATCCTCTGAGGCATTGACACTGCTTCTAGGCTTTGTATTGTCAGCATTTTTACCCACTTTTTCAGCAGTTTTCTTCTTTTTGTGCCAAGGTCATTAATGAGCATACTAAATTAGATCAAATGCAAGACAGACCTTTCAGGAAGCCCACTAGAAACTGATCTAAATTCCCTCCATACCTGATACTCCTTTGCAGCACTGAAGGTGCTGATGGGCAGCCAGCTCACACTTCTCTATTAATTACACAATTATATCCATGTTTCCCAGCATGTCACCAGTAAGCATTTCTCATGCAGCAAAAGGAGTTCTTCACCAAACAGATTAAATCTACCACATTTCCTTTGTCTGGAAAACCAGTTATTTTAGTCAGAGAAACGCAGCCAATGAGTTTTGCCTGGAGGAAGCCTATCTTGCTTCCTTTTACCACTGTGTCCTTGATTATTGTTGCCCTCCAAATCAGCTCTAAAAGCTGGCACGCTGCTGGGGTCAGCTCTGTGGTTACATGGATCATTTCCTTCTTTCTTTCTTCTCTTTCCCTTTCACTTTCCATCCATGGGCTGGAATCCAGCACCAGGTTCTCCAGGGGCTCACACACCACAACAGTGCCCACTGGGGAAAAATGAAGCCAGTTCTAAGAGTCAGTCAAGGCCCCAGTTGGCTCAGCACCTCAAAAATGTGTCCAAAGGCTGGGGAGTGCCAAAATAATGGTGCCTCAGTGTGTGATGGTTGATAGTGCCCATTGCTTTGATTCCTGGTGTGATTTAGGCTCAGGGTGTATATCCATGTGCTGACTGAGAATCAACCTTGCCTTCTAGACTCTGCCATATCCCTGTGACAGTGCTCTGTTTTAACAGCCCAGGAATACAGAAACCAGAATAATACAGGAATCAGTCTGTCCCCCTGATTCTGGGCTGTCTGCACCTCATTTCTGTGTGTTCTCATCACAAGTAGATGGGGAGGAAAACTATTTCACATTTATTTTGTGAAGTGGTAGTCTTGCAAATTGTAGAATTTGGGGGGAAATATGCTGGA